TTGAAATTCACCTTCCGACTGGGGTTGCTGTCGGTGATAGGGATTTTACTTGTCTTATAAATTTTTAACTAATTTCAAAAAAGGAGGAGGTTATATGTTCGACTGTATGTATTTTTTTTAATATACGTTCACCGATTTATCCACCTATTGTGGACCAATTTTCAAAATTATTTTTTATACGATAGCTTATACTCCTGAGATGGTTTCATTCAGAGAGTCAGAATCTGATGATGGGATCCCCATCCAACTCTCAAATTTTATAGGCACATATAATGTTTTTCGTGTACTGTCTAACGCAATGCAGATATTTGTGCCTGGTAATCATCATTTTATGTTGCTGAGCTTATGATGAAAGGTATAAATTAGTATCTGATGATGGGATCCCAAGAAAATTAAGGGCAATCCACACATTTTATGGGCATTGTTTGAAACATTATACTTCTCATGTGTTCCCATGATCATCATATCAGGATCTGATGAAGGGATCCTGGAGAAATCAAGGGAACTCTCCAAATTCTATAGACACATATAGGCATTATACCTGGTAATTATCATCTCATGTTGCTGAGTTGATGATGAAATGTATAAGTCAGGATCTGATGATGGGAACACAGGAAAATCAAGAGAAATCTTCAAATTACATAGGCACTTTTAAATGTTTTTTAATGCAACTTTCAGAGAGAGCCGAGAACCGTTTGACGAAAACGCAAGCTCCTCATCGTCAACCACTACACTCGATGACTTGCATTTAGTTTGTGATGACGAAGATGATAACCATAATGAAGAAATTCAAAACGACAAGTTATCAGGACGCAGAATCGTAGATATAAAATATCTATTTTCTGCTATTTCAAGCATTAAGCACCAACATTTAGGCTGCACATTTGCCGATTTAAATTTCGTTAAAGAGCAACGAAATGGTTTTATAAGCAAATATGTATTTGAATGTAAAATGTGTAAAATAATTGAAACAGTGCACAGTGAAGACACAAATGTGAAATTAAATGCAAATAATGTGATTGTAGAAGGAATTCTCTGTTCAGGAAATGGATATGCACAGTTAAACGAAATTTGTAGCGTGCTAAATATGCCAAATATGACTAAATCAACATATACGAATATTGAACAATCTATGATACCAATAATTGAAGAATGTGCCGTAGACGAGATGATAGCCGCTGGGCAAGAAGAAAAAAGACTTGCTATTTTAAATGGCGAAGTAGACAAAGATAGCTGGCCTTTAATAACAGTAGTTGCAGATGGCTCTTGGGCAAAACGATCTTACAAAAGTGGATTTAGCTCTGCGTCTGGGGCTGCATGCATTGTTGGACTGCGGACTAAAAAGGTTTTGTTTCTTGGCGTTCGCAACTCATACTGTTGTGTTTGTGCGAGAAGTCAAAAGTTGAATGTAGATGTAGCTGAACACAGATGTTTGAAAAATTGGCATGACAGCGCTAATGCTATGGAAGCAGACATAATTGCAGAAGGTTTTGCAAAAAGTATAGATATGCATGGAGTCAAATATAACAAGCTCGTTGGAGATGGTGATTCTAGCATAATGAAGAAGTTGATATTAAACAAACCCTTTTTTTTTTCTTTTTTTTGCGGATGGAAAATCATCAAATGACGCCTTTCGCTCTGGGTGGAGCGGAAGGGAGTGTCAGACTTTTACTGACTAAAAACCATTCGTGTTCCTTCAGTGCCCTTACGTTCCGGAGCCGCGGTATCTCTTTCGAACAGCCCGCAGCCCCGGCAGGCGTCGGCCCTTGCGGGCCCCTTCACGCTGCTGACAGCTCTTTGAGGCGCGCGTGGAACAAAACGCGCCGTCGACACGGCCTGTCGTCGTTAGACGGACGGACGGCGAGCTACCCATTGCTCGCCGTCCACAGGCCCGCGCCTACGGTGGCCGGGGGCCACGACGTAGCCCCCGACGCCCGGGGCGTCTCCCGTGGCGGCCGGGAAGGAAAGCTGCTGCTCTCTCCTTCTCCCGCTCCGCCACCTCCTTCGCTAGCATCACTGCTTCGCAGAAGGTGGTGACGGCAACCCATTCCGTCTCGCTCCGGACCATGGCTTCGACCAGGGCCGGACGCGAGAGGTCGCCGCCGCCTATCGCCGCTACGAGGACACGGCGGTGCTCCGCCCAGGCAGGGCACACCTCCACGGTGTGCTCCACCGTGTCCTCCGGTCGATCCTCGCAGTGGGAGCACCCGGGCGTTTCCTCCCGCCCGATTCGGTGCAGGAACCTCCCGAACACACCGTGTCCGGTGAGGACCTGCGTCAGGCGGAAGGTGAGGACGCCGTGGCGTCTCTCAAGCCACTCCTCAAAGAGGGGTCTTATCGCCGCTATAGTGGCGTGCCCAAATATTAAACAAACCCTACGGTCCTGATTTTATTATATCAAAAATCGAATGTAAAAATCATTTACTGCGAAATTTCTGCAACAAATTGAAGGCTTTAGGGAAAAAAACAAATAACCATAAGGGCTTTGTACCAGTGCAGCTTCGAAAAAAGGTGGAAAAAAATGTTTTGCGTTTGAGAAAAGCGATAGTTGGAGCAGTAAATCACAGAAAATCAGAAGATATAAATCCCAATGAAAATCTAAAAAATCTAAAAAAGGATATAAAAAATGCACCCAACCATGTCTTTGGAGACCACAGCAACTGCAGCGCTTACTTTTGTAATCCCGAAAAATACAAAAACGACACAAATTTTGTTGCTAATCTTCAGACTAGCGGATTATGGACTGACATTCAGCATTACACATTGCGTTTAGCATCAAATGCAGAAAGTCTCATAATCGATGTAACAAACAATACAGTGGAACAATTTAGCAATGTAATTGCAAAATTTATTGGAGGTAAACGAGTCAATTACACGACCAGAGGTTCCTACCAAGCACGATACTTTGGTGCGGTTCTATCATGGAACAGCGACACCGCTATACATTCACTGTCAAAAAAAATCCAGAGAGCTGCAGCCCTGGCAAATACACAAAAAATTTCATTGAAAGAAAAAGGAGATCAAAAGACTACAATGAAAAATGCCGAAAAGAAAACTTTCGTTCGTCGACGATAGATCAAGTACAAAACGAAAAGTTACTGGACCTGACGAAAATTACGGTCGACTAGAATTAGAGCCTGATATGCCATCAGAAATATACGAGGAAAAGAAAAAAACATTTATTTCCGAGCTAGAACTATCAAAAAAGAGAGCTGAGGAACTTGAACGTAGCACGATTGGCCAGAGTGACAATAAATTGTGGACAATAGAAAGGCGCAAGCGTATCACGGCATCAAATTTTGGCAAAGTGTGTAAACTGCGTAAAAAAACATCAGTTGCGGGTTTATTAAAATCTTTGCTATACTCGCAATTCAAAGGCACTCCTGCGACAAACTATGGAAAAGAGAAAGAAGATGATGCAGCAAAAGATTTTTCAAAAGAAACTGGACTGTCCGTAATCAAGTGCGGGTTGTTTATCGATAAGAATAAAAGCTTTTTGGCTGCTAGTCCCGATGGACTAATAAATGAGGATTCAATTATTGAAATAAAATGCCCGTATAACATTGCTGAGATGACTCCAACAGAAGGAATAGAAAATAAAAAACTCGACTCCTGCATACTCCACAACGACAAGTTAAAATTAGAAAGGAATCAGAACTACTACTATCAAGTACAAGGCCAATTGCACATCACAGGCCGAAGGTTTTGTTACTTTGTTTTGTGGAGCCCCAAGGGTTTCTTATATGAAAAGATTGAAAAAGACGACGAATTTTGGCAAAACATCGAACCAAAATTAGAAATTGTTTTTCCACGAATGCCTTCTCCCTGAAATAATTGACGGTCGGATACCACGAAATTTACCCGTAAGATAAAGGATGGAAATGACGACAGAATAAATGTACATATTAATTATTATATAACTTTTGTATTATTTAAAATAACCACAAGCCACATAAATATTAAGAATTTACTTGATAAGAGCAGTCATTATTTTATAAACTCTCCAGTAAAGCTGGCAAATCACGTAAGCAGAATTATCACACCAAGCAGTAGAGTGCGAACATTAGTTACGTATTATTTGGTAACGGTTTGTATTTTTCCAAGAGACACTTCGTTGAAGTTCATTTCAAATAATAGTAAACGTAAACTCTTAAAATATCACTGAATTGTTACTTCGTTTTCTCTTAAAAAATAAAAAAAAGCATCTAATTACACTGTTTCGTGCCGCCCGTAAATCAGTATAGGATAAACGTCGGTATCAACTGCATCACTATGATATCGATAAAAACTTCAACTGTTGTTACTTCCCTAATTGTTTACGTATTAGTCTAACCCTCCCTCACTTCTGGTCTCCCCCCGTAGAGTGCGATAGGGACAACTGCATCTCAAAACGATTTTACCTGCGAAAACCATGACCAATCGACCTTTCGTATTCCCCTGTTTTCTCCACGAAATCTAAGCTGATTAAATTATTTTTGGTATCAAAATTTAAAGGAAGAATATATCTATGCTCCTATCATTTGCTTTTATCTTAAAAACTTTTCAAATTTGTTTGGTAGTCGTCTGATTATGGAGGTAAAAACGGGGCTTTTTTTTAGGTCTTTGGTAAGTCATATTTCTTTTTGTAATAATTTTTTGGAAAAAAATAAATGATAGGGCATGCCTTCAATAGACCTAGATTTTTATAAGCAAAAACGATTAATCTAGACGTATTATCCAGGAAGATAATAGGGAAATACATTTGTATGGAAAAATTGCAGCCCGTCTACGCTCTTAATGCGGCCCTTTCGCATGGTGTATGTAGAGAACCGGAGACTCTTTTACTGGAAACAAGGCATTCTCAGTGGTGATAACGCATCTGCATTTTGATTCTCAATCGAGCTATGAGCTATCTACGAGCTACAGCATCTACTTACCATCAGGTGGACTGTGTGCACTTTTGTCACTCTTTTTCTATAAAAAAAATTAATCGAAGTCTTTAGAATTAAAAATAAGTATACCTTTAGCAGGCACGAGTGGACGCCGGTAGGCCGCTGCACCGCACTCTGCGCACGGCGAGCCGCTGGAGTCTGAATCTGACTCCGAACGACGAACCGTCAACGTCATTGCTCTTGATAATCCGTAATCATCTGTTGAAATTCACATAAAGATTCAATATAACTTTCGCATTGCCAATGTTAGAAAATCCATCACAATTGTACGATCTGGTGCAGCTGTGGTTCTAGACAGGTAGGGCGGAGCACCATGCTGGTCGTGAACAAAACTTTAAATATTTTATAAAATATAATATTGCTTTTTTCTCAAATCGTACATTGAGGTGAAAGAATCATCTCAATCCTTTACAAATAAACGGCTGTGAATTTGTGAAGAATTGAAAGGATTCTATAACCTCCACTAGCATGCACAAAATACCATCCTGAGCTACCTGCATCCATCGGAGATAAAAGGATGGCGAAACTTAAATTTCTGACCCTCTTCAAACTTTAACTCTATATACGCGTAAAGATGACATCATTACAGTACAGTGTAATATAGATCCACTTATGTGGACAAGACTATTAGATCTAGCAGTCGAGTTGTGGGCTTAAAATTGTTATGAAAAATGTACCGAAAATCTTCGGTAGGTGAGAGTACAGCCGTCAATAAGGATTTTTTGGGGTTTGATATCGCAGAATTTACATCTCGGGTTTATGCTTTGTTTAGAGTCGAAAGACGTGTCGTATAATCGACACTGGTGTTATTTTGCTCGTGTAGAGGTTAGAGTGGTATGGAGGTTGTGGTATTAGGGTTAGTGGTGACAGTGATAGTATACACGATTGTTGGAGATTTTTTTTTATAGGATAAGGGTGACAATCAAGCACACAGTCCACCTGATGGTAAGTGGTTGCTGCGGCCCATAGACATCTACATCTATCCTCTATTACAAATCAAAATGTAGATGCGTTGTCACCCGTGAGGACCAAGATGGAATGCCTCATTTCCAGTAAAAGGGCCTCCGGCCACCTGCACTCACCAAGCGAAACGCAGAGGTAAGCCTCTATTTCACGCTGGTTTTCTGTGAGGTCGTGGAACCACCCCGGTTCGAGCCGGCCCATCCGTGCGACAGCAAAAGCTGCCGCGTGGCTCTACCACTGTTGAAATTGTGGTTTTTTAAATAAGGGGTAAATGAGCATGCAGCTTTTTACTGAAGATCTGCAACAACAACAAGCCAGTTCCTGGAATCTTTTTGCGCGGTTGAAGAAATTCTTATTCATGAGTAATATTAGTTATTAAGATTTTTATTTCTTTATTATATTTTACATCACCATTATCATTACAGTCCTTCACAAGTACGGGTGAAATAAACTCTGCGGAGGCTGGCCGCTAAGTCAGCGGCGAGCCGAAACTACTGCTATTTATACTACTTGCTGACGCAAGCGCCTCCAATTACGTAGCAAGCGATTACGTCATGCGATCAATCACCACCTGACGTACGCCGATATTTGCTGTGAAATTAACAACAAACTTTCGTTTCGAAACGTTTTGCAGTAGTTCGTCAGCAAGTAGTATAAATAGCAGTAGTTTCGGCTCGCCGCTCACTGAGCGGCCAGCCTCCACAGAGTCTACTTGACCTGAGAATACCTCATGTAGAGGCGAAACACGGGTCGTATTTTCGATAGTGGTGTGTCGTGCCTAGTACGGTGGTGCTAGGGGTGGTAGTGCTGGGATTGACGGAGACGGGTATAGTGCGCGCGATTGAGGGAGGGTGTGAGGTCCCCTTAAAACTGGGCAGGACACATCATTTTCTTTCTTTACGTGGAATTAAGCAAAAAGTTTATAACAACCCCATTAAGACGGATCTCTGACAAAGACTCTCGCCGCATGCATTTGGAGATCTGTCTGTACTGTTGCCTATGTGCTATCAAATCTGCTGAAGACTGCACCTTCACTTTCTCTTTCACAGCCATGAGATTAAGAGTGTGATGGGAAAGTTTTTGTGTTCTTTTGCGACCGGTCTTGCAGAACTCAGCTCCAACCGAATGCACAGTCTCCACGAGCTTGTTATTCATATCGTCCACTGCATTGGAGTATTATAAACACTGTAGACGATTTTGTAACTCAAGCTGAAATTTTCACGGTTTTGGATTACAGTGAGGGGGATGCAACGTTGACTTCATTAGATCTCTCCAACCTAACGTTTAGGTTCAGTGTGCCTCTCACCATACGGTGATGGTTGCTTGTTTTCTCCCTCGCGATCACTGACACATAACAGCTGCCGTCTAGTCGTCATAAGGTATTCAATCTCATTTTTGTCGAACCGTCGAGGCTCGACGAGGTCCAATTTCTGTGGGTAGGCTTCTAAAAGTCCCTCATTCTCCATGAAATTGCCCAGCTGTTTGTCCTTTGGGTTTCGTATATGCTACATGGTCATGTCGTCTTAGGTGGAAACCATACCTCAATCGGAAGTTCTTAGCACCTTCTGCCCATGATTGGCATTATATCCAGGAATAGCGGGGCCGCCGGGGACTGGCGGCCGTGTTTTTGTAACTCTCGTCATGTGGAGTATTACAATAGTTGCCACGCTTGGCGAGCGGGTTGGTTTAATTGTAAATTTTTGCCGCCCATCTCCTGATTTGTTTTCTCTGTAGAGTCTTACGATACCCACGGGAAGATATGGGGTAGTGGATATTCTTACCCACCACTATACGGGCGGGGTGTTTTACATAATAATCAAATATCATAAACCATGTCTTACAAAATAATTTTGACAGTCGCTGACTTTATAAATACTTAAGCTGAGTTTATGCTTTTTAATAAAAACTAAAATACTTATTGTTTAAAGTCCCGACTTCTGATTCTGAATGTGAAGTAATTTTATTCTTTATTATTATTTCACTATTATAGTAAAATAAAATACACCTTTTATGGAAGTCGGTAAACAATATGTAATATACCCTCAAGTAGCGGCTGAATTAAAGGATTTTTATTTGTAGTATACCGGAGTGGTGCGGGTCACGGTGACAGTGGGTGCGGCGCGGCGGGGCGGCATTGAGCGGCGCGGACTCGGCGCGCCCGAAAGTGCGTAGCGTGCCGCCCCCCTCTCCCGCCGCCCCCGCCTCCCCCACACCACACGCTACACCTCCACTTCCCGCGTCGCTCGCGCCGCCCGCCATGCTGAACGTCGCGTACGGGCTGATCTCGTACATCTCTGCAGGAACATCTTCTAATACATAAGCATTAAAGGTCTCCCTTCTCCACGTAGTAAGACATTTGGTGGATAAAAGGTTGTAGCCGGTGGAAGGAAAAGGGGAGATCTCCCGCCGGGCAACGAGTTCTGCCCGGGGAGCAGCCAACGCTCCGAGTGGTAGTTCGGAGCTATTATATACTGCTTTAACTTCGGAACTTCGTTAGCGCGAATTAGGCTTCGATGTGTTTTGCTTGTGGCGCGACGACAGCGCCGCCACACGATCATTTTATTTGAAACGGTTTTGCTTATTATTAAGAAATAAATGGTCTTAACAAAAATGTAGCCCATGAAGAAGCCAATTCAATAACAGGCGGTAGTCAAAGATATATCTCAATGTATTTTTTATCTTAATTAATATTTATAAATGCATTTTAAAAATCTATTCGATTAAGAATTTAATTGACTGTATAACGTAAGCGCATATTTCATCCGTGTATATACGTGTCCAAATCGTGGCTAAAATACTGTTGCGCACCCCCATTAATGACTGGTACATGGTGACACTAGTTACCACTAGCGCCTTATGGTATCGAGTAGCAGAACTAGGAGAGTCAAAATCCTTCTAGAAATTTCCGTGGAAGAAATTTCTGGAACTATCGACACCTACTCAATCGAGACCGGAATTTACTCGAACATTTTAGATGTTTCTACAGTAGACGATTCTGGAACTATCTGAGGCCCCATGTAAGGCCGGTATATACCGCGACTGGGGTCAGTGTTGAGTTGGCGATACAAGAGATTACTTCAAAGCGATACAACTGCGAACTAAAGTGATCACTAGTACAAGTTTTTTGGTTATTAGTGTGGTTTTAGATTGTAATTAGTGTTCTGTAATTAAGGTGTAAATTTTGGTAATTCACTAGGCAGTTTGTAATTGACTCGAATCCCAAGCTCGTAACAATACGATAATATTATATCCAAAACGGGCTCAAACGAAAACTCTTACGCCTGTCACCCTGAGGGATAGGCAGAGACTACAAACTTTCATTTGGCACGATCCTGACACACAAACGCAAATCATTCTATATAATATGTCCCCTAATTTTATTCCTAATCAAAATAACTTTTAGAATGTTACCTCCACAATCGAATTTCCTCTCATTGCTTAGCCAATGCGCCATGAAACCGTTAAACTATTTCTATCTTTCTAGAGTCTAGATACATGGCAGTATGTCACAATGTCCGGAAAAGGAAAGGGCGATGCGTCTCTTTCAGTTACTCACTTATCAAAAACCTAGACTGTTGTTCATCCCTATAACTATGATTTATATAATTCAGATATCAACTCTTTTAACGGTAAAGTTGACAACTCGGAACCTTTTTTATCGTCGTCAAACTTAGCACTCTTTTCTTATTAATGTTTTTGCTGGAATTATATTAATGTTGAGTGCGACTGTACCTTGCTGTTCCTTTTTACTACTCGGATGCTTGATGGGTGAGGACGTGTACACTTGTTGACAGTTGCGTCGATTGTCTCTTTTCTCTACTGACTTTTCTTCTTCCTCTGTGATTCCACTTTGTTCGTAACCCTTTCTAAAACAGGGGTGTGATATGCTGGAAAATGACGATTTAGTTTTTAGTAAAAATTACTCTGTTTTTGTAGTGATATTAACTTACAGTACCCCTGATTGTTCGAGTTTCACTCAATGTGTAGTTTTCGCGTTATTATATAAAATAATTGAGTCCAACAAACGATAAATGAACTCACAATCAATTTCAAATAACTACAGATACGTTATCATCTCTGAAGAGAGATGAAATGCATCAAAGCCTATAATACTGTAATAAATATAATGTATTATGCTATAATAAATGTAATAAATACAAAACATTAAACTAAACTCAAAAGCTTTTTCCTACCTAAATTATAATTACCTAACGTACCTACCTGCCTAGTTTTTGCATTTACCTTGCTACTACTGACTTTAACGAAGTTGTTAACTTACCTTCTTAGTCTTTATATTTTTACTATACCTACTACCTACTCGCAAATATAACGGTGCAAGTATAATTATAACGGTGGTAGAGCCACGCAGCAGTTTTTGCTGTTGCACGTATGGGCCGGATCGAGCCGGGTTGGTACCACGACCTCACAGAATACCGGCGTGCAGTAGAAGCTCTGCTTCTGCGTTTCGTCTGGTGAGTGCAGGTGGCCGGGGACCCAATCCCCTCCCCCCCATCAACATGGTAGCGGAATTACACGATAGACTACCCCAGGAGGGTACCAGTACCCCTGGAGAATCCCTCGCTGAGCATCCACGACAATGTTATTCCAATCCTGAGCGTGGGTGCTCAGGCTGCCTCGCGTATTCTGGGGGTGGGGGGGGGGGCAAAACTCCGCCCAAACTGAGAAACAATACCAAGGCGACACCTGCCACGCTATCCGTGAATTTCTGCAACATCAGGGGACTTCACTCGAACCTAAACGCCGTCCACTACCATCTCGAGACGGCGAAGCCGGCCTTGCTCTTTCTGACCGAGACGCTGTTCTCGATGCCTCGGCAGTCTTGAAGGTTCGGACCTGTCCATCCTTTGACTACGCGTAGAGAGCGACGACCATCCGCGCGTCTACGGGTGCCTCTATAGGTCCCATAGCGGTAATGCCGGAACAGACCGACTCATCGACCACGTCCAAATGGCTACAGATTCCTTGCTACAACAGGTCCCATCCGCAGAAATCGTGATCCTTGGCGATTTTAACGCCCACCATGCCGAATGGTTCGGTTCACGTTTAACCGATCATGCGGGGGGATCTGTTTATGACTTTGCCTTGGCATATGGTCTGACACAACTGGTTACTTCGCATATGCGGATTCCAGATGTGGAAGATCAAACATCTTCCCTGTTGGACCTTCTGCTGACCTCTCATCCGGACGGATATCAGGTTTCCGTCGATGCCCCTCTCGGCTTTTCGTACCATTGTCTGATCCGGAGTATGGTACCACTCACGCTCCCATCGCGGTTGCGTTCTGCAGGTTGCCGCTGTGTTTGGCATTACAGGTTGGCGGGTTGGGACGGAATGCGTTGTTTCTTTGCATCCTACCCATGGGGGCGGGTTTGCTTCTCACTGGATGATCCCAGCACTGTTGCTGACTCGATCACCGATGTGGTGCTACAGGGAGTGGAACTATTTATTCCATCATCAGGGGTACCCATCGACAGATCTCAGCCTTGGTTTGGTTGCTCCTGTAAGACTGCATTACGCACTGAGCAGGAGTGTTATCAAGCCTGGGCTGCGGCTTCGGTGACTCGGGATTTAAACACCAGCACACTTAAAAAGAAGTATAACTTCGCCTCCAGGTCCTACAAAAGAGTTATTGCCAAGGCAAAGTCAGAGCACATAGGCAGAATTGGCGAGAAACTAGTTCACCTTCCTTCGGTAACCCGTGCATTCTGGTCTCTCACCAAGGCTGTCCAAGGGAATTTCTGTAAGCCATCACTACCATCTCTGCACAGGGAGGACGACTCACTGGCCCAAGACGTAAAAGACAAAGCCGACCTTTTAGGCTCCCTGTTTTAGGCAAACACCGCCGACCATCCCGCGGTGTGAGTGCTCCATACCAGATGTGCTGTTCTCACAGCGCTCGGTTCGCAAAGCACTCCTCTCCCTGGACATCCAGAAGCCGAGTGGGTCTGACGAAATCGCCCCAACTGTGCTGAGGACGTGAGCTCCGGAGTTGGCACCGTTCCTAACGCGTCTTTTCCGGTACTCCTACTCCCAAGGCATAGTCCCGAATTCATTGAAGACAGCTTTTGTCCACCCGATCCCTAAAAAGGCGACCGCTCAGACCCGTCCAACTATAGGCCTATCGCGATCACCTCCTTGTTCTCCAAAATAATGGAATCCATTATTAACTGCCAGCTCATTCGGTACTTTGAGGATCACCAGCTGATTAGTGACCGCCAATACGGTTTTCGTCGGGGTCGATCAGATGGTGCTCTTCTGATCTACCTGACCCATAGATGTGCGGAGGCAGTAGAGTCCAAGGGAGAGGCATTGGCCGTTAGTCTGGACATTGCGAAGGCCTTCAATCGTGTTTGGCACAAAGCGCTTCTTTCGAAACTCCCTTCCTATGGGCTTCCCGAGAAATTGTGCAATTGGATCACCAGCTTCCTTGCAGATCGGAGCATCAAGGTTGTTGTAGACGGTGCATGTTCTGACTACAAGCCTATTAACGCTGGTGTTCCACAAGGCTGTGTGCTATCACCAACGCGGTTTCTTCTGCATATCAGTGATATGTTGCTAACTGGTAACATTCATTGCTATGCGGAAGACAGCACTGGTGATGCTCTATACACCGGCCGTGTCAATATTTCTCGGGAAAACGTCACCGAGTACCGGAACAAACTTGTGTCTGAAGTCGGGTATTTGCTGAACAAAGTCTCGGATTCGGGGCGACTAAATTTAGTCCAGTTTAATCCTCAGAAGACACAAGTTTGCGCGTTTACTGTTTTTAATGTTTTGTGGCATTTCTATGTTCAGGAGTGGACTTGTGAAGGCTGTAATGATAATGAAGATGAATTTTTAATAATTAAAACACAGAATGAGGATATAACATATGTAACTATAAAAACAATAAAAACAAAAAATAAAGTAAGAAATGTTATGCGCATTGTACAAGCTAAGTTGTACTTAATACCTGAATATAATATAACCTGAATGACACAAAACAAGATCTAAGAAACTGGCCAGGTTTTTAAGAATTAAAATATATAGTTAGTAAGTTTTAGAACCATCAAAGAAACATCACACTGTCTTCGTTTATAAGCAAGCGCAACAAATATATTATGGTGTAATGATACTTGGTTATTAACGCTAGCTTTGTCTTTCTTACGTAACATACAAAAAATAATAATTACTTACTACGAATTTTAAAGAAACGGTACTCGTAAAAGTAACATAAAGTAGGAAATTTTAGGCACATCTTACAAGCTAAATACTGACCGAATGACAGAAAACAAGATTAACGAACGCCATTTAATATTTTATTTTTATTGGCTAATTTTTAAATATGTTGTTACAGTTTTTTTATAGGATAAGCGTAACAAACGAGCACACAGTCTACCTGATGGTAAGCGGATGCTGTGGCCCATAGATATCTACGTCTATTCTCGATTAAAAATCAAAACGCTGATGAGCTGTCACCCCTGAGAACTAAGATGGATAGCCTCGTTTCCAGTAAAATGGGTCTCTGGATCTCACCATACATACATACATACATGAAGTACACATCTCACCATGTGTACTTCACCGGTCGAGCTGACCCATTCGTACTACAACGGTAATATAGCTGCAGCATGGCTATGTAAAGAACGCCATTTAACAAAATAATAAAATATTTTAGGTTAAGTTTTTAATAATTAAAATATAGAATGAAGATTAAAAATCATTAAAGAAACATCACACTACCTTCTCTTATAAGCAAGGGCAGCGAGTAGAATAAAAGCAGCCAATAAAACCACAGCGGTAAGCAGCATCGCCAGCCCGCTGCTCCCGCCGATACTGACGCCCTCCCCTCCAGGTGGAAATTGCTCCGGCTGCTGTATTCGTTCTTCAACAAAAGAAAACAATTATATTTTATTTTAAATATGATGAAGCCGTGGTAGCTCAGGGGATAAGTTCTCGTCGTAAATTATACAGTAAGCAAGCAACTAGGGTTCGACTTCCAATGAAGTTGTTGATAGCGCGTGCAAGTGCATCTACACGCGAGCGTTTATATAAGTTCGTATGCGAGTGCGTGGACCTGCTAATATGTGTGTGCGTGCATATGTGTGTGTGTGTGTGTGTGTGTGCGTGCGTATGTGTGTGTGCGTGTTTGCGTGTGTGTTTTGAAGTCTGAATTAATGATGGAACGCGCGCGCGCGTCTGTGCTTGTGTGTGTGTGTGTGTGTGTGTGTGTGTGTGTGTGTGCGTGTGTGTGTGTGTGTGTTTGAGTAATAGAGAGTGAGTGAGAGAGAGGGAATGAGTGAGAGAGAGGGAATGAGAGAGAGAGAGATAGAAAGAAAGAGATAAAGTGTGCTGCATGTGTGTATAGGTATGTGCATTTTCATGTGTATGTGAGTGTGCATGTGCCTGTGTGTGCGTGTGTTCGAGTGCGTGAGTTTGTGATTGTGCGTGTGTGTGTGCATAAATGCGCGCGTGCATGTGTGCGTGTGTGCGTGCATACGCGCGTGGTGTAATGCGTGCGTGCATGCGTGCGTGCGTGCGTGCGTACATGCATGCGTGCGTGCGTGAATAGTGCGTGGGGTAATGCGTGCGTACGTGTGTGCTTGCGTGCGTCAGTGCGTGCGTTCGTGCATGCATGCGCGTCTGCGTGCATGTGTGGGGTAATGTGGGCGTGCGTAAGTGCTTTCGTGCGTGTGTGCGTGCGTGTGTGCCTGCATGTGTGTGTGATTGTGCGTGTGTGTGTGCATGCGTGCGTGGTGTTATGCGTGCGTGCTTGCATACGTGAGTGCGTGCGTGGTGCAAGCATGCAAGCGTGCGTGCGTGCGAGCGTGCTTACATGAGTGTGTGCGTGCATGCGTGCGTGGGGTAATGCATGCGTGCGATCGTGCTTGCGTGTTTGAGTGCGAGTGTGCATGCGTTTGTGCATGCATGCATGCGTGGGGTAATACGTGCGTGCGTGCGTACCAGCGTGCGTGAGTGCATGCGTGCGTGCGTGCATTCACGCGTGTGTGCGTGCTTTCACGCGTGTGTGCGTGCATGCGTGCGTGGGGTATAGAGTGAGTGCGTGCACGCGTGTGAGCGTGCATGCGTGTGTGTGCGTGCGTGCGTTAAAACGAGTGTGCTTCCATGATGCGTGGGGTAATGCATGCGTGCATGCGTGAGTAATTTTAAGTGAACGTGTGGATGTGGATAGCGCGTGCAAGTGCATCTACCCGCGCGCTTTTATATGAGTTCGAATGCGAGTGCGTGGACGCGCTTATGTGTGTGTGCGTGCGTGATGCGTGCGTGCGAGCGTGTGTGCGTGTGTGCGTGCGTGTGTACGTGCGTGCGGGCTTGCGTGCGTGCGTGCGTGCGAACGTGCATTCACGCGTGTGTGCAAGCATGCGTGCGTGGGGTAATGCGTGTGTGCGTGCATGCGTGCGTGGGGTAATGCGTGCATGCGTGCATGCTTGCGTGCGTGCGTGTGTTAATGCGTGTGTGCGTCCATGCGTGCGTTGGATAATGCGTGCGTGCGTTAATGCTTACGTGCGTGCATGCGTGCGTGTGTGCGATCATGCTTGCGTGGTGTAATGCGTGCGTGCATGCGTGTGTGCATGCATGCGTGTGTGGGGTAATGTGAGAATGCGTGCATGCGTGTGTGCGTGCATGCGTGCGTGGTGTAATGCGTGCGTGCGTGCTTGCGTGCGTGCGTGCTTGTGTGGGTGAGTGTGTATATTTAGATGTCTGAATAATGAATTAATAAAGTCAGTAGTATTATGCAGCTATATAATGTTGGTACTCTGTGAGAGTGTGCTCTTTTTAACTCTATATTTTGTTTCAATATAAAGAGTGATGGTGGTAAATATTTTTATGATACTTACCGCCATTTTCTGTTAAAGTTGAGAAGTAGTAAGTTGCAGTAGTGGTTCCAGCCGTGCTGCTTGCAACGATCCTGAGGTGATACCAAGTGGCTGAATGTAGATCGCAAATTGTAAGTGGGTGGGTCTCTAACTCTACGGTCTGCGTACGCCAGGAAGTCTCGTCGAAACCTTTGGAAAGATTTTTATATTTAATACAGTGTTAATGTATATTTGTTAAATAATAAAACTACAACTCGTTGAGCTTAGTTTGCACCTCACTGCAATGCGTGAACCCTCCGTTCAATTGCACTGTTCATTCGTAGTACGGTTTGAATCTTTGTTAGTGAAGTAATACGCATAATTTTCGACTCCTATTTCTTTAGTTTTTGAATCATTTTTGTTGTTACGTCCTCCTCACCAAGTGCTTACTTAGCTCAACCGTGTTGTAGGTTAGCCATATTAAAAAATACTTAAAAATATAATCTTCTATTATTTTAAATTACATAATTACAACATAATTGCAGTTCTATTAAACAATGCGGTGCTATAACTAAGCTATATGTTAAAAACAATTATATGAACATGAATATAAAATACTCGTAATAATTAAAGAAATTACAATTTTCAGCACATGTGTATTTTTATACTTATTACAAGCCAGTGCTTAATCACAATCCGACCTGGTGATAACCGGTGATGCAGCCTTAGATGGTAAATCGCACCGTTTTAGCGTAACAAAAGCCTATTCACTCTTGCCTTGAAGACGCCCAGATTGTATTTGGACGGAAAGATAAACGCCGGCAAATTATTCCACTCTTTTTCTGTACGCATTACGAAAGACGAAGCAAATCGTTTGGTTCTAATGCGTGGAATATCGACAACAAAGGGATGAAGACTCACCGACTACCTGGTTGTCCAATGGTTGAAAGGAGAGGGAGGAATCAAAGCGAGCAAATCCTGCGCACACTCACCGAAATGTATTCTATAGAATACCGAGAGACAGGTTACTCTGCGCCTGTGCTCGAAGCTGGCAAGATTGGTTACAACGAAATCATGGTCATTTGAATGAGCTTATGAGCGTCTGAGCACGTCTCTCCGGTGAGTCCATCGCTACCAGGTGGTATTTTGAAGCACCAATCCATATGTGACAGCAGTACTCCATGCACGATCGGACTTGCGCTCTATATGAGGTAAGAAGCTAACCCAGCGTGAAGTAACGCCGCACCCTTGCAAGGACAACAAGTTTCCTTGCAGCTGCTTTGGATCTGGACTTAATGAACTGCCCATAGTTGAGGTTCGGGGAAAATTCTACCCCTAACAACTGAATGCAGTCAGTGTACTCCAAAGAAAAATTCCGGAAAGTAGAAGCCAGGGTGAACGGGCTCCTTATAGCGATGAAAATACCGCTTGTGTTTTGGAGGCGTTAAATCTCACGAGATTGGCATCGCCCCATTCGGAGACTGCCTGTAGTGAGAGACTCACACGCTCGACCATAGCCTCTCTTTCTGACTGGATTTGATCCCGGCTGGTCCGGTCACTTCGTTGGATTCCCTTCACAACTGTGATGGTGTCTACATACCCATAGATACCGGGAATGAGCAGATCATTTATATGCAGTAGGAAAAGAGTTGCGGAGAGAACGGACCCCTGAGGAACACCGGTGTTAGTCACCAAAGTATCGGATGAGCAGCCATCGAAGACGACCCGGAGAGAAAGTTCACTCAGAAAGTTCTTCGCACGCACTCAGCGTACGGACGTGTTGCTCACTATTATTTCTGTATTTCGTAGGTAGTACCAAGTAAAATGGTTCAGTGTAAAAAGTGCAACTTATTTGTTTCTTTAACAAAAGATGATGTTATTAAGTGTAAAGGTTCATGTGACTCTGTGTATCACAAAAAATGCTTATCGAACGTAAAGGAGTTCCAAAGAACCCAGCTGTGTGAATCATGTCACAAAAGTGAAATCAGCCCTAAAACGCAAGTACCTAAAATTAATGTAGATATCGAGAAAGCTAGTGCCGAAACGCTTCTAGCAGAGGTCAATAAAAAACTGGAAATAATTTATCAAACACAAAAGAAAATTGATGACCTAACAGAGGCCGTGGATTTCTACGCTGAACAGTACCAAATGATGCTTAACTTTAAGGAAGCCGCGGAGAAGAAAATGACTGCTTTGGAAAATAGAAATAAGTATTTACAAAAGTGCAATGACTCCTTAGAAGAGAGGATAATGTTTTTAGAACAAAGGGAAGTGGAGAAAAATATTGAAATAGCGTGCCTGGATGAGTCAGAGAAGGAAGATACAAAGAAAATTGTTGAAATTGTTGCACAAAAATTAAATTTAAACATTGGTAATATAGAGAACGCAAATAGGGTAGGTCGAGAAAAGAAAGGAGAGGGTAGGCCGAGACCTATAGTCGTTACCCTACGAACCAAGCAAGCTAGAGATGAATGGCTAAAGCAAAGAAAAGTGTTAGTATATAATAAGGAAATTCTCGGCAACAGCAATGGCAAGCGGGTGTATATAAATGAAAATCTTCCTAAAAATACGCGACAATTGTTATGGAACGCGAAGAAAATGTTAAAAGACGTTTATAAACACATATGGCCACAAAACCTTAAGGTTTTGGCTAAAAAAGACGATAACTCGAAAATACGCTGGATCCGTTCGGATGCAGATATCAATAATATGTGTTTCAACACTGATAACAGCAGCGTATAGTAAATAAAACACAATAAATTAGTATTGTGGAAGCTCACTGTATGTGAATACCTAAATACACAAAATGGATGATATTTTATCACACATCGAGGATAAATATGAGTATAAAAAATTTCTAGATGCAAATACGTGGAGCACACACTTAAAAACAACCACGGAGGACCTAAAAATAATTCACCTAAATATTCGTTCTCTTAGGAAGAAGTTTAATGAATTGCTAATACTGCTTGAGCGCACTAATTTTAGTATAGACATTATATTATTAAGTGAAATAAATATCAGACAAGCGGAGCTGCCGTTATATTGTATAGATGGGTATGATATGCACGGGTATACAAGAGAAAATCGACGAGGAGGAGGCTTATTAGTGTACTCTAAAAATGAATTGCGCCTGCAAACAGTAAACCCGCAAAGCTGTGGTTTGGAAATATTGCACAGTCAACTTAAGAGCTCTGACACCACCATACACATAATCACCGTATACAAACCGCCAAACACAAATAAGTTATGCTGTATTCAAGAATTATCTGTACTAATTAAGCAAATTCCCGAATACGAGGACGTCGTTATTGCAGGTGATATGAATATCAACTTATTAGAAAAAAATACAACCACCGATAAATACAAAAACGCAATGTATAGTTACGGAATGCAGAGCGTTATCAATGACTTTACTCGCGAGGAAATATTAGCCGGTAGACTCGTAACGTCGTGCGTCGATCATGTATGGGTACGTACACGCAGCCGCCGATTCGCTTCACATATGTTTACGTGCAAGTTGTCGGATCACTATATGGTAGGTGTAAGTATTACCAAAGAATCAAAAGGGGTAAATAGAATAAGTCTTACTAGTGGCAAATATAAAATGTATACTTTGAATAATAAAGTAATAACTCGCGAGTTAGAGCAGGTTGATTGGAGTAAGCTCGTAGAGATAGACTGTCCTTTGATAATTTATGAACAATTGTGTAGTGTTTTTGCACCTATCTACGATAAAGCTAAAGTTAGTCTTAATTGTAATAGAAAAAACCGGGTAATACAGCCGTGGATCTCTAAAAAAATTAAAATATTGATAGATAGAAGAGATTATTTATTCCGCAGGTGGAAGACTAGTCCTCAAAATGTTACTTATAGATTAGAATATACGAAACACAGAAATCAAACAAATAAAATTATTAGCAAAGCTAAAAATAACTATAGAAGGCAGGAAATATCACGCTGTCAGGGAGACTTTAGGAAATTATGGGAAACAATAAATTGCTGGCTAGGAAATAGTAAAAATAGCTTAGATCACGTAGTAATTAAGTATCTAGGAAAAATCAATAGTATAAGTGATATATGTTCAAAATTCTCAGAAACATTTACAAAAGAAATTGATAAAATAAAACATCAATGTAATATTAAATTACTAAATCGCGAGACCTATGTAAAATCGAGTGATACCACTTTCTATTACAAAAAGGTAACCGAAAATGAAATAAAAAAAATAATTAGTCAACTAAATAGTAAAAAATCGCCAGGTTTAGATGGAATAAGGCCGCAAGATCTAATTTTAGTTAAAGAAAAAATAAGTCCAATATTAGCAAAATTTGTGAACCTTAGTTTTAAAACAGGCTTATACCCAGACAGTTTAAAAAAGTCTATTATCCGCCCTGTTTATAAGCAAGGAGACCATTGCAATTATTCAAACTATAGACCTATTGCAATATTGTCTGTTATTAATAAAATAGTGGAGAAAGTGATAGTTACTAGAATTAGTGAGTATCTAGAAAAAAACTGCATAATTACAGAAAAGCAGCACGGATTTAGAAAATTACGTAGTACATCGACGGCCTTATCAAATTTCACCGATGATATCAACGAATGCTTAGGTAGTAAGCAGTATGTATTTCTTTTATTCATAGATTTTAAAAAAGCGTTTGATACGCTGGACCATGAGCAGCTGTTGGTAGCTATGGAAGAGTGCGGAATCCGCGGTCCAATCAGTTCATGGTTTCGTAACTATTTACACAACAGAATGTTGTGCACAAAGATAAAAGAAACCATTTGTCATGGTAAATTAGTTAGTACTGGAGTTCCTACTGGCTCTGTGTTTGGCCCTGTGGGCTATATCATGCATGTAAATAGCATGGTAAACGTTGTGAAAAACTGCAGAGCATACATGTATGCTGACGACACATGCATGATGTATGCTGACAGGGATATGAAGGTGATTGAGAACAAAGTACAATCGGATTTTGATAATGTAATCAAATGGTCCCACGATAATGGAATAATATTAAATATAGAGAAAACGAAATGTATGCTCATACAATCGCCATACCTGCATAAACCATGTATACCTATAAGTATAAATATCATAGGCCATTCGTATGATTGCTTGCATAGAAATAAACAATGCATTGGTTGTAATTCGATTGAGCTTGTTGAGAATTACAAATATCTAGGATTAACCATAGATACTAAGT